TATATATATATATAGCTGGTAAAAGAGTGAAACTGTGTAGGAATAACAACCCCACCTGCTGGATCTGTATGGAAGTGTTCAAAATTAAATAAATAAATAAGTAATCTTGAAATACTGCTTGAATAAATATTTCACAAAAAGTGTGGCAATGAAATTGAGAAAATGAGAAAGTAAAATTCTAGAATAACTGAGTGCAAATAAAAATTCTCAGCTTAATATATTAAAATATATTTCATTTAATTTGACAATTTATCCCAGTAATATCAATTATTGTCAAGGTATTTTTATTTAATGCCAGCAGTTTTTTTTTTTTTTATGTAACTTTTAAAAAGCCAGCTTTTATTTCATAATGATATGTTTAAACTAGAGCTGATTAAAGACTCCTTAGGCAGTGGCTAAAAAAGGAGAAATAATCCTTTAACAGTTGACAGAAGAATTGGAAGCATTAATTAAAAAGCAAACTTCAGCTTTTTACTTATTGGCTCATTCTACCACAGCATCATCAATGTTATCATCATGAAGAGTAATTATCATCCTGATCGTTTCAAAGTTGCAACCATAGTGACTTAAATTTACATCTTCTGACATGAATTCCTCCAGTAATGTGCTTCTGTTCATGCAACTACACTAAGCTAGTTGTTATTAGCTGATCAAGCAGGCAGCCAGGCACTGGAAGGAAGGCTAGATGCTGTTTGGTGTCAGCCAACAGGGATGCAGGTCCAACCTGCTGAGACGAATTAGCCAACAAATCTTTTTAGTTGAAAAATATCATTGTTAAATAAAAAGGCACTGGAAAAAGCATCATAATGTAAAAAATTGGGCTTTAAAAAAGTTACATTTTGAAATAAATTCATATATTATTGGGATCAATTGTCAAATAAAGTCATTATTTTTATAATTATGACAATGAATAATAATAATGAACTGAGAATTTTACTTGCATTCAGTTAGTCACATTTATCATTCATGTATTTTTTATTCAAGTACCTATTTATTTCCCAATGACTTATGTATGTATTTCATTCTGAACACAGGTTTAGTTTAGTTCTTTTTCTCATACTTTTAAAAAATGTTAGCAGGCTTATTTAAATAAATGGTCTACGAATAAAAATAAAGGGCACCCAAGGCTCCAGAGTTTCTTTAACCAAAGTAAAGGTAATAGTGAGGCTTTCAGTGTGAAAGCTCTAATGTGACACAAAAATTCACATGATCCTGAAGCCAAAGAAAAACAGACATGAAAAATATTGCATCTGTTTGGATATATTGTTCAAAACTCTAACACCCTTAAATCATGTCAAGTAAAACTAATTGGCTTCACAAGTCAGCTCACTAGTAAAGAAAGTGAATTTGTGTGTAATTTAAGTCCAGTTTAAATGTGGTTGTTCTGTAAGACTGGTAGATCCTGAGGACCAACTAAGTAGAGCAGACATGTCAAAGATAAAGTTCGGATTAATTAAAATAAAGGTTAGGAGTAGTGTTGAACATGTCATCAGAAAACGGAAATAGTATGGCATGCCATGTGTGCCGAAAACAAACATAGCAAAACACACCATCTACACACTGTGCTGTTATAGAAGCAACATTCTGCTGTGAATGTTTTTCTTAAGCTTCGACCAGAAGCATTTTGATTTCAACATGGGTCAATGAAAGAAAACCTGTTAGGGGCCGTTAAAGATTTGATATTTGGGGCAAAGGTTAACCTCCCAGCAGGACCACAATTTTAAACTACAAAGAAATAGTTTAGGACAATTCATATTGATCGCTTGGAATGGTTCAGACCTAAATTATTAAAACTTCTTCTCATACTTTCTACATAAAAAGTAAGATGCGGGGATATTTTTGTGGGAATTAACTAGAGCATTCACAGTGGCCTTGTTTTAACAATCAATCACATTCATTTTTAATGAAACTTTTAATTTTTAATCAAATCTGGTTGTAATAATGATAATATTCCGCAGACAGGGTTAATTTCTAAGCCCTTGATGGGTATATGTTCAGTAGGGATCTCACACCCTCCCTTGGTGATTTATAAAAATATATCCTCTGTTACTCCTGGCATTTTCTCTTAAAATATGACACTAAATCTTTGCAAATTTTGCACAAGGTATTGTAGGAGCAGTACCCAGTTTTATCAGTTACTGTTACTACCTTATCATCTAGAGGATTTGAAACAGTGCAGTGAATTTAAAGGTTCCTTAAAGATTTTTTATGAAAACAAACCAGGTGAGACTAAAACTTTTCTGGATAGAGCATATTGACAGAAAGACTTATTTAATCTTAAACACAAAACATTGATATATATTTTTACATTTTTTTTATATATTTACTGTTTTAAGTGGGTCGCTCTGTCAGCTTAAGGCATGTTTCTATATTCCAGTATACGACTAATCAAATGCTAAATTAGTTGACAAATATTTCAATAATCAATTAATCACGATCAATCCGATTAATTGTTTCAGCCCTCTTGAATTATTTTCAAGACCACAAGAACTGTGAGTTTTATTATTTACAGACTCAACATATGTGAATAATTTTTGCTGTTGTTTTTGTATTATTTTTAAAAGGCCTCATTGATTGTTTTAACACAAATATCCTCTATAAGCCATCTTTGCTGCCTTGTATTAAATATATTTGTCCACTAGAGGGCAATATCATATCAACGTTTTGTCCTCAGCCTGATGGCTCCCATGAATAGACCAAGGTATGTGGACCAGGTAGGTAGGTGTTGATAGACTAATATAGCCTATACCATAGAGAGTAATATATTTTGAAAATGATAGACTTTCATAGAGTGCAGTCTGAGTTTAAAGTTTCTAGCTGTCACTGAGTAAATGAGTCTAATAGGGTTGTCAAAAGTATTGATACTCAAAAAAGTATTGATACTGAAAAGTTGTATTCGGATACAATACTCATTTTAAAAAGTATCGATACAGTGCTACCACCATTGGCACCTAAACAGTCATTCATTTTATGCGCAGATGAGAGGATAATGCACTTTCAGAACACTGTGTGATTGAATAATTCTGTGAACTTTTCGGTTTCAGACTGTTTTTTTTGTGAGAGGTGCAGCTGCTGAGAATTATTTTTGTTTCTTAACTGGTTTGGCTAGTGTCATTGTTCTGTGTGCAAAGCACAGCCAAGGAAGGAACACTTAATTTTATCAAGCTTGCTTAATATTGTGCACAGCATACAACCTCAAAATATTGTTTATTGTATTTATTTATCTATTTATTGTATTTTGTTTAATAATTTAAAAAATTCTGTTGAATTTTGGAATCTTTGTTTTTATTGTTTTGGTATCGAAAATAACATCGAGTATCGAATATTTTACTTAGTATCGGTATCGAGTTGAAAAGTTTAGTATCGTGACAACCCTAGAGTCTAAACAATGATCAGAGGAAAAGTATATCTTTACTTTGCCTGATGACTTGATTCCTTTGGCTAAAGAAGCGTAGACAATGAGCCAGGCAAGGAAGAGGCAGCCTGCCAGAGGCCAGCGGATGTCTCCTGGATATTCAATCCCTTTGGAAATATGCAACACATTGTACCTGTGGGTAAAAGGCAATGAGTTAAACTCCATTTCAATATAACTTAACAATGCAGACTGGTCTTTTTTTTTTCCTATTGAATGTTAAGCCGCAAATGGACCTTTTTCAACACATAGCTGAGAGTGCGCCTTTTAGTACGGTGCGCCTTATGGTCGTGAAAATACGGTAATTAGTTGCATGCATAACTCCTCAAGTCTAAGAGGTCATATTTATTATTGACTCTAAGGTTCTCTTATGTATATATCAAATTGCTTCAGTAATCTGATGAAGATTAAATTTCACTCTCTTTGATTAAAATATCATTGATCTCCAGACTTTTCAGATTTAGTAAGGTGTACATATGAGAGATGGAAGATTAAAAAAAATAATTTATCTATTTTTTTCTTTCACAAGTCCATTTCAAAGGTGCGTGGCAACCTGATATAATTAAATTAATTCTAGTGCAAGAAATGTTTGTCACCAGCTAAATATTTTGTAAACTGAACTGAATTAAACAAAATCCATGTGCATATTATTTCCTCTTTCTATAAATAGGGCTGTTCTGTGGAAGCATCAATGATAGAACTTGTCAAAAGGACAACTGTTAGTTAAGCCTTTAACCCAGGCATGCCGAAAGTTGGCCGCTGGGGCCGCTGTCCTGAAGGTTTTAGAGGTTTTCCTGCTCCAGGAAATCTGAGTTCATTAGCAGCTGATTAAAATGCCTTTGCTGAACTGCATTAATCTGAAACAGGTGCGCTAAAGGAGAGAAACCTCTAAAACCTGCAGGACAGCGGTCCTTGAGGACAGACTTTGGGCATGTCGGCTTTAACCAATATTCCTTTATAAAAAGTGGCAAAAGAGGCAATATTGAAAAATTGCTTTGGCAAAAATGTTTACAGCTTGCTATGAAAAAATTGACTTGCAGTAGAAAACTTCAGTTAAAGATTGCTGTGAGTGCACTTTGCCCATTGGGAAACTGGTTGAAGAATTGTGCACTAAAAATCAAAACATTCGACCTCTAGAAACGCAAAGCGAGACTTTCCTTCAAAGATCTGCAGACAAGAGTGCTGCAGAAGGTGGGTCTGCAGAGTAGTGCAACAAAGGAATAACAGCATTTGCTTTTTGGGGGGTATTTGTCATGTATGCAATTTTCTCTTCTTTATTGGCCTATCCCTTCTAATTTTAACCAATATTTTTACACATATTTGGTTTAAACATGGAAAAATGTGCAACTTCTCACTAGGAATAAAATGTTTTTTGTGCTATACAAGTTTTTATAATACAAACATAATATTTGTGCCACAGAAGATGGATTATGGCAGTTGTTACACAGTTTTATGATCAGATTTTGAAATACTTAATTGTTTTTTGTGAATAAATTTGATTGTGTTTGGTAAGGTCTTAAACTGATTTTCAGTAGATCAACACAATTAATATTTAATTAATTAATTTTGAATTCAAAATATGTAACAAACAAACAGTGCACCTGTTAAAGAAGCAAATTTGAATTTCTAAGAAGTGATAGAAATACTTTAAATTAGATACTGTACATACCAAGCTTTGTAAAGAAACTGAAATTCTTTTCTGTCAGAAAACTCACTTGAAATATTCCTCACTAGGGCTGACGTAGGTCCTGTTGCCGTCAATTGTCATGTTAAGCAGCTTTGACAGGTTCCCCATAGTGTTTGCGGACAGACAGAAAGTAGAGTTCTTGATGGAAACTGTGGTTTTGTCCCGCAGGATGCATGAGTCTGTTCCAATCAAAAATCAACACATTTGAACAAGCAGAGACATTCACAGAGGTATATAATATAAGTTCCTCTTAATTAGTTCTACACATAGTGTAAAAATGGAAGTGAACAGATTATTGTGATTTACACTAGGAAATGATACAGATTTGCTAAAACATGGAATATGTGTTTTATAGCCTCTGAGGGACAGAGTTGGAAAGAAAAACCATTGAGCAGGGCTTTGATAGATACAGTGATACATTTTAAAACTTGAACATTTTTAGTGTCCGACTTTAATATTCAGACTTTAGGTTTTTCATCATTACTATATATCGCCAGCTATAACACTATTATAAATAAAATTCTATATCCATATTTTTTTATGATTATGAAATTAAATATGAAGAATTATAAGACTCAATAAGAGGGACATTTAACTTTTAATATTTCAACATTTGAAAGTACATTTACATAAAAACAAGTGGAAATATTTTTCAATTTATTTAATTTAATGACTATATGTTTTAAAAGCTGCCTGTTTTTTTTGTTTTTTTTTTGTAGAAACTGCACACAAAAATATATAAAAATGCCATCTAAATGGATGATTATTTTTAATGCCAATAAATATAACATGAAACAGGCATTACGTGTGCGTTGCCAGCAGGTGGCAGTGTCGGGTCTCACTGCAGCACTGCAGCAGCTCTCTCTATACAGTAAATTTGTCAAGCAAGCAGTTTTAGTGCTGAATTCACAGAATCGCTGAGGGCAAATGTTTCCCAAAATATAAGCAGATTTCATGTTTATTTGATGCAAAACGACAAAAAAAAGTCAAAATCTATGCAATTCTTTAAAACTCAGATTTATTCATAATATCTAAAGAATCGCAATTAGACAACCAAAGCCGTTAAATGGCACAACCAAACATTAAAACTAAGATTTCATAGTGAGATTAAGCACAATAGATGATGTTTGTTATAATTTTGTACTATTGATCTGTAACACAGAAGCCTCCTGTACATCTTTTCATCAGACTTATTCAGGAAGGCATGAAACAAACGAGTGAGCGGCTCCTAATTTGTCACTGGGAGTCACACACTGCAGAGATCGCAGGTCAGGATTCATTATACTGCAGGACACCTCGGCTGAGGGAGTCATGACGCATTGCGCATTGTGGAGAGAGAGAGAGGGGGGATTTTGGTGAGTGTGAAGGTATGTGTCTTACCTAACAGCAGCATGTCTTTGTCCTTACATTCCAGCGTGTTCCACTCATTCCTACAGTTAGCCCATGGCAGTGAGCCCTTCAACGAAGCGAACAGGTAGTACAGTGTCCAGCACATTATAATGTTATAGTAAATGGCTATCAAGACAGATATTATCAACATGGCAATCCCGCAACCTAAAATAAATAAATGAGACGAAATATATAAATTACCCTTTAGAAAATTTGAGAGGTGTTGGTTATTTCATTTTTTTCTGATTTATTCTTTAATTTCATTTTTTGGGGGTTTGTTAGTAGCGCTATAGTTTACCTTGAAGGGCGGGAATGCACTTCCAAACTGACACGGGGCCCTGGCTGGCAAACTGGCCCAGGGACACTTCCAACAAAAAGATTGGGATCCCGGCGATGCCCAACATTGTTAGATAGGGAATCAAAAAAGCACCTGGGAGGCACATAACACAGAGGGCAGTTCAAAAGTCAGGAAATAAAGCTCAAAAATGTATTTAAAAGAGAAGCAGTTTTAATATCAGTCCAGATTCTCAGATAGAATTATCATTAAAGCTCAGATCTTTTGATTTTTGCAAGGTTCTTATGCAAACAGTAGTTTTTTTTTATTGCAGTTTTGGAAAAGAGAACCTTTGACACTTTTAACTGTTTGCACTGCAAAAAAAACTTCAATCTAAATAACAATTTTTTCTGAAAATAAGTGCACTTTTTTTCTTGAATTAAGGAGGTAAGTGAGGCACTTTGCCAGTGGAACAAAACAATTTACACTTAAAATAAGTAATTATTTCAACAGCATATTATCTATTTTTTATTTTAAGAGTAAACAATCTTATTCCATTGGCAGATCATCTTATTTACCTACTCAAATTAAGGACAAATTCACTTAATTTAAGACAATTTGTACTTATTTTCTAGATTGTTTTTGCAGTGTTAGGCCTTTAAGCGTATGCCAACATGTTTTCATTCTTTAATTTTCTTTAAAATGATTAATCCAGATCTTTTCTGTTATTTATTGATCACAAAAATATGTCTAATTTTTATTTATTTATTTATTTTTTGTCTGACTCAGAGCTCTTACCTCCACCATTTCGAAAGGCAAGATAAGGGAACCTCCACACATTTCCAAGTCCCACCGCATAACCAACCATGGACAAAATAAAATCCAATTTATTAGACCAGTTTCCCCTGGCCTTATTTTCATCTCCCCCTTCATCATCATCTTCGTCTGCCTATAGGGAGAAAAAAAAAAAAACTATAATTCTCTCAAAAAGAAAAAAAAAATCTAGCCAAACAGAATCCAAAGAATATCGCCTTCAAAATGTAACCTGGATTTTAACGGTGGTTATTTCAGCTGTTTGCTCAGGTCTATTCGTTTGTGAACCACATTCAAAAATAAAAAGTTTGCAAGATTTCAGCTTGCTTTAGGAAAAAGGACAACATGACAGAAAGAAAATACATTCATTGAGGCTAGTTCTTCAGAATACAAGAACAAGAAACAGCACTGAGGCAAAAAAAAAAAAGGCCCAGAATTTGAAAGGAAGTTTGAAAAAAAATAATAATAATAAGTAGTACATTAAATCTTCTCCAATATTAATATGTTCAGAATGGCCTTTTAAAAAGAAACTTATAACGGGTTCTGTAAAAATAATTTTACTAAAATAAATATTAGCTGTTTTAAAGTCTTACAGCCTGTTACAAATTATTGCATTTATATCTGCATTTTCCATTTCCAGCTGCGCTCTTTTTAAGAACTGCTTCCACCCAAATCATTAGAATACTCATGAAAGCAATGCGTTGTTACAACAGCACACAGAGCAACATGGCATCACCAAACAACCAAAAAGAAAATATTAGAATAAGAAAAACATCACTAAAACCTAGCAGACCCTGGATGTGTGTGTGACAGGGATGTCCCCGTGGCCACAGGGTTACCATCCGCAGCCTCACAGACGGGAAACACCTGGGCTGTACCAAGTGCGTCTGCCGGGAGCCGGGGACTCCTACAAATACCGCGAGAATATGAGCCAAGTTCTGTAGTCCGATCAGCTGGTACCAGATGAATTCATTCAGTAACATATTAGGCAAACATCTGCAAATGGCAGGGGGGGTTAATAAACAGAGTAGAAAATGAAATGTTTTATGTGATTTTCTTCATTTTTTTTTTTTTTTTTTTTGCTGACATAGGTGTTTTGTTTTTTTTTGTTTGTTTTTTTTGACGCAGATGGCATAAAATCTTATAAAAAGCTCACAAGTCCAATAAAACAGCCACACAAGTTTAAGATTCAGCTTTCTAGTAACCCGGCCAGCTACTCATCAGACTATATTATACGTCTTATTATTAATACCATATGTTACTGGTAGATAGATAGAAAATATAGCAATATAAAATCTTATATTTCATAACTAAGACCTCCTATCTCGGCGTAAAAGCACAACGACAAACCAGATCCTCCAAAATGAATAATTCGCATAAAGCTCCACAAACTCTAAAAGTTTGAATTGCTCCATGACGCTGCCAGAGGCGTGAACCCTTCAGATCCATTCATCTTTTTCCTCAATTTTAATCAGTAGCATGCAGGAACATCCGCTGCGCACCTGCCTCCAGCAGCCGCTCTGATCGGCTCATTTAGCACACTTACCCCCGTTATAGTCCCGGGCTGAACAGACGTGTTCCCATCTGTCCCTAGTATGATGGTGGTCTGGCTCATAGCCGTCCAATTACCCGGGGTGTTGTTTTGCTCTGAGGTGGCCCGGAGCGGGTCTCCAGACGAATCCTTAAAGGCCGATTGTGTGGCCCCTGATCCGGGGACCTGAGGGGCCTGGGTGCTCTTAAACGTCCCATACTCCTTATTGGAGTCCGGTTCTCCCGGTTTATTTTCCGTGGGACAAAAAGTTTTATTCTCGTTGCAGGGAGGCGGCGGCTGAGGTGCCGGGTGATGATGAGGGGAATGTGGTTGGCATGCCACCGTGTTGTCCGGTTTGTTTGCTGTAAGTCCCGCCGCTCCTTCTTGCTGCTGCATTGGGATGTAGCCTGCAGGAGCTCCGACCGGTTGCTTGGCCATGTCTCTCTGCTCAGAAAAATCCTGGGATATAAAAGTGAAAAATCAGCGACAGGAACGACGATGCTCAGATAGAACCCCTAAAGCCTTAAAGCTGGTGCAGTCCATATCTGTAGCTACTGTGGTTAAAGGTGTTAAATTCTCTGCAGGTTTTGTCTGCAGCAGCCTTAAAATTTTTAGTGCATTTCACTTTTAGGAGGTGCGTTTCAGCAGCCCATGAATGCACAGTAGTTGTGTGCGCATTGAATGGGGAGGGAGGTCGCTTTGCATTGCTCCTCCAGTTCCCGCTTTCTGCTAGATTCTTTAATTTTACGCCCCATTTCCCCCCTCATGTCATCCAGCCACACACATCCACTGATTTTTATGGCCAATAGACAAGCTGCTGCGGGTCTATGGGAGGCTCGGCTCTCCCCGCAGGCATGCGAGATCACCGGCGTTACAACGGCTGAGCTGGACTTGGGGCGGCGGAATTAAAAAACGGCTCCCTGGAATTTAACGTAGAGGGGGCGGGAAAGCAACCGGAAAATCCTCCAGATTAAAAACGTTGATTGAATAATGCTTTGATGCGTTCATTTTTGTGAAATAAGTAACCAACTTCTTTCTGGGAAGTTCCCCCCTTTGTATAAAGTAAGTAGGAAGAAAGATGCATGAATACAACAAGACAGATAGGCTACAAAATTCATCATCAGTATCCTTGATTTAAACTAAAACTAAAAAAAAAACAGGTTTTTATCATATAAAAGGAGCCCTAATGTAGCGGTGATTAAAAAACACTAAAGGGAAGTTTCTACGTTTCAGGACCACGGACAGCGCAAATGTTTCAGCTTCAAAAACTACTTTCAAGAACTTTGCAAATAACATACAATAGACCATAAAGCAATGTCAAGTCTCATTTGACTTCAGGTAAAAAGCAAACGAGGTGTTTTTTTTCAATCCACTTACCATTTTGTGCAGAGGTCTGCTGTCGGGCTGAAAACAGCTGCTAAAAAGAGGAGGAGAGGACTGGAAGCTGAAGTGGATATTGCCGCGCAAAGCAGCAAGTGCAAAGCTTTTCTATGGCTCTGTGGGAAAGATTGGAGTAGTTTGCGTCAGTGCAGAGCAAGGTGCCCTTCGTGTGACATTTTCTTGATAATAGGAGTTTGATAAATCATTAGGCTTGGATTCGGGATTTTTAAAGGGGACTTGCGGAGCCAAATCGACGGGGGGCGCGTTTTTACGTGCGTGAATTGTATGTGTTCTGATTACGCACGTTGCATGCGTGAGCGCTGGACAGACATTGCTAGAGCTGATGAATTCACTCTTGACTACAGATGTGTTGCTTCCTCACGTGCAGAGACACATCCCACACGATCACAGGCTGGTCGATTACGGTGGCGATTAGGGCTTCGTGTAGGCGTTTTTCTTCCATGCAGATATAGGATCTCTGATATGACTATCAGGCCCTTTTTATTCATAAAGTTTGTTATTTCCTGCCATCCACACCAAGTCTTCTAATATGTTATATCAGAGTATATTTCAATAAAAAAAATGCACGAATAATGAAGTTGACAATTCTTGGTTTTAGAATATTCTATAGGAAGGTACGCCAAGGGTAAAGTTCACAAAAAAGACGAAAAACTTGAGCCAAAAATGAAATGAACTATAAATAGTTTTATTCTTCCGCTTAACCGGTTTTACGCACAGTGCGCCTCAAGCTAGACGCGTCACCAATAGGATCATTGATCAAAGGAAAAGAAAAAAATTGTGGGCAAGGTCTTTACAGAGCTACTCATTTGTTAAGGTCCTGTGCAGAAAGGATTTTTTTTTTTACCAAATTACAAGCGTCAGGAGGAGCTTGAACCAACCACTGCCTCCACTGGAAGCAGTGACAGCAGAGGGTGCACGCTGTAGATTCTAAAACACTGCATTGCGCATACCATTGTCGTGGTATTTCTATTGCTTGAGGATATAAAACAAAAGTGAGGGAGCTGTTTGGGATGTCTTTTTTTTTTGGTCTTTTCACTTAAAAATAAATCTTGAGGCCTAAACATCTATCTCATCCACAGCAGGCCTTGATCAAGAGACATACATCAACCACTACAAACCAATGTTTATTTTGTAAAGCTATCCGTTTTTATCAAAAAACATATTTGTTCTTTTTTAATTTACAAAAGGGATAGCTCCACAACCCCCTCCCTTTTAAAACAACAGCTGGTGGTCTCATGCTTACATCTTTGTAATAGTCTCTGGGTCACTTCACCTCCACAATTCTCATTTCCCTATTCATTACCATAAACAATGGGCATACTGTATACACCATAATATAAGCAGAGTTCTTAAGTAGCCTACAAATACAATACTTTCGATTCATTATTGGGGACAATTTACTTGGGTAAAATATCATCTTGATCACTGATAAAAATATAAAATTTAAAAAAAAAAGCCTGTAAAGGACCTTCTGCTGGAGATGTCAAAACTACATTTTTTACAATCTTAATATAGTCAGCTTTTCAGAACTGTTTATTTTTTCTTTAGACTGACTAAGAACCCCCGTTTTTTTTTTTTTTTTACGCAGATGGCATTAACACATGTAGCTGTCTGCCAGGTCTATTGCTCATTTTCGTACCCGAACAGATTTGGTATAAAATGACCGCTACAAATACACAGAAAGACAATGGACGCAATGGACAGTACCCATAAGGTGAAACCAACAATTCCTTATCATTTGGCTCCTTCTCCAAATAACCCCTTTCCCTACCAGTGTATTACGATTTTATCCTTTCCTACTTCGTATTTAGAACTTTAAACACACATTTTATTGTAGGAGTCGATTTTTTTTTTTTTTTTTTATCATGGGGTTATGATATAGGCTACTACGCCAGAGAACATCTTTCTTCTTTATAGCCTAACCCAACAAGCCAATTACCGACAAAATGCAAAACTACAAACTGATAGAAAAAGTTTGAATTTGTATTATATAATCAATATCAACATTATTAAAAAGGCATTAATTAAGAGCAGATTCATTTTCAGACTATTTGGAGCATATCACATGGTACAGTAGGCCTATGGTTTCTCCACAATTGAATAATATCAGTTTCTATTAACAATGAAGCAAATAAAAGGCTTCTTAACCTTTTGACAATGAACTCAGGACAGCTGTGGGGGTGATTTGGGTATATGGTGAGAGTCAGTCAGTTTGGTTCAGGCCTGCTCATTTACCATGCGCGCTGCGCTCCTTCCGCTTGTAAATCTCCCTCCGTTGCAGATAAGAGACAGAGGCGGGTGTATTAGCCGCCGCCAGGAGTTTAATTACATTGTCAACAGAGAATAATTGTAATTGATTTCTTCTTCTCTTTCAGGGACCAATGATCGCAAGAATCGACGCACACACCATCACACACAATAAGTGCTTATATGATTATGAGAAACAGTTTAAATGTTTCATTCATCAGCTGCAGAAAGCGTCGTTTTCCTATTACCTATAAGAACAGCCAATTAAAACTGCAAAGTTTTACTTTTTTAAGCAGCTGGATCAGCTGTCTAATATGTTGAAGGGCCCGTTTGGGAATCTTACATTGTGGAAAGGAAAGCTGGATACTGATCCTGATCAAGCAGGCGAACTAACTGCCTGATGCAGAGGGAGAAGGTGGGGGCTTCCAGTGTCCCCCTGCTCTCGTTAATTACACGAGTTGGCCAGTTTAATTGATCACTCTCACTGTCGCATGAGAGATAAGAAGCTGCATTCATTTCCAGCACATGGGAAGCAACGATTTACAGGGGGCGGGGGGAAGTATCATCATCACCATCATCATCATCATCTTAGATGCTCACATGTGTGGTACTTTAATAAAAACAGCTTTTGCTGTTCTACTGCCTACCTATTACACTGTAAAAAAATGAGTAGGCAAAAGTGAAAATAAGACAACACAATTGGATTGTCTTATTTCAAGTGCATTTTATCTAAATATCTTATTTTCGAGGAAAAATACTCATTCCATTGGCAAACTACCGCATTTACCAACTCAGATTAAAGGGGAACACAATTTTTTTTTACATTGGTCCCTTGATTTTACGATATTACATCATATTTTACTAACCCATATGAGTTTTGTGTCATTTGGAGCTGTTCTGAAGATATTCGGTTTTGTTATATCCAAGGAACGTCTTCCTATGGGCAACGAGTTGAAGGCACAAACTGAACTGTTCATAATTTATTCTTTATGGTACGCCAGCATTCATAACATGTAGGCGAATCACTGTCCCCCAGACATCCGTGGTTATATTTTTATTTTTTTTTAAACAAAGCGGCGTGTGTATGACGTCATCCGCGCGTTGGACTGGAGTTGTGACAGGCAGCCCGGGCCACTGGCGGCTATGCTCTACCCTGTATATTCATTCGGTTAGCTAATCTGAATCGTTCAATTCCATTTCAAGAGTGGAATCATCTGTGGTACGTAGTAGCACTAGACATCTTCCAGGCATGTGAGTAAAACTAGCAGCAGTTCAGTGGACAGGAAGAATGAATGGTAGCCGGCGCGCGCGGATGACGTCATACACACGCGGCTTTGTTTATTTTGTGCCCTCAATTGTTGCCAATAGGAAGACGTTACTTGGATTACAAAACCGAATATATTCAGAACCGCTCCAAATGACACAAAACTAATATGGGTGAGCAGAACATGATGTGATAACCTAAAATCAAGGGGCCAATGTAAAAAAAAAAAACGGTGTTCCACTTTTAAGGATAAGTACAATTCATTTAAGACATTTTTACTTATTTCTAGATTGTTTTTTTCCAGTGTAAATTATTTTTGCTGACATTATTTGTTATTTGTTTGGGTTTCTTTGGTGGTCTAGCTGAAGATACTTTAATAGTAGCCACTAAGGTAACCAGATGCGCATATTTTGGCTATGTTATGTTCTAGCAAATACACTTCTAACACAATCGGAGTGTGTTTAAAATCAGTTGGTTTTTCTTACAGATTGAATAGAGATTGGCCAAAGTAGGCGCCCTCAAATTGATTTTTGTTCTGGACTTTGACTAAACGATTTATGTTTTGACCGGAACCATTTAATTGGAGATTGAACTGAGGTAGAGCCTACTGGAATGCTAACACACCCCAACTCAAATATTTTGCAGTCTCTAAATAGGGTTTATTCCCCAAGGATTTCTACATATTGTAGCTCCTTTCATCTATGGAAATCTGATCAGCTTTTCTGTTTTTGCTGAAGAACAAGAGTCACACAGTGGGATTCCTCTGCTTCATCATGTTTCCTGACAGTAATCATGTCTGTAGGAAGAGACGCAGTGTTATTTATGCCATATCACATATGCTGTGCTTGAATAGTAACATTATGGTGTTATCTGACCGCAGCGCTTTTCCCTACATCTTAGTTATGTTGCCTGCAGCCTGAAACATTACTTCTGGTTGCCCACCCTCCTTCTTTTTTGCCACTCTTCCAGTTTTGAGCATGACTTGTGTTAAAACACTGTCCCACCTTATCTGTGAATTTCTGCAGCAGAGTTACTTCTTCGCTGCTTCTCTGATAAACAACATTCTTTCTTACCTGACAGCTCGTGACAACATCATGCTGAGTGGTACCAGGGGTTTGACACCTGAAAGTTGATGTGAACATTGCAGACCGAGCTTCAGAGGTGTTTCCCTCTTGAGCAGTGAGTTCGATGATCATCCACGGATCTCTGCTGGGTTGGGCATGGTAGGTTGTTAGAACTATACCTTCATCTTCCGAGGGCAGATTAAACCGTTTAAAATGGTTAATTCAGTGTGTTAAATTAATATGCAGTGATAGCTGTTCACCACTGTCATTTTCCATCTGATTATTTTAGACTGACTTTTCTCTCCATTGAACTGAATGGTTTGCAGTTATGATACCATTATTTCATAATGGTGAATACAACTAGCCTGGGTGCCATTCCGCCCACAAGGTTTGAGGTCGGGAAGTTCGGTCTGGCATTGCTCCATAGTAGTAGTATGATCGCCCACTCTCTGGCGATCCAATCAAATTGGAAGGGCGGGCTTTATACGATGATGGACAGTTGATCAACAGTAACGTAATCAACCACGTGACCAAAGCGCGCATGGGTGACAACAACAATGGCTGCCGCTGGAGAGTAGATTCTGCTATTAGGTCTGTTCTAGAAGATATCGACAGCAAATTAATTTTAAAAGGGGAACAGAGAAACGCGATCAAGGCTCATCTTCTTATTCTAGGCGTGCAACTGCACGCTTTGATTTTTGTTGACAACAACTATGCATCGCTTAACATACGTCACGCACTCCGTTGCTCCTATTGGTTTGGTTGTAGGTCTATCCAATTGAGTGCAGAGGCCTTTTTTTTCTGGTTCGTTCAAAACACGCCCCATAATCACAGCTCTATAGAGCAGTATCAGACTCATGTTCTGACTAGAATTGAGTAGGACTACGTCAGGCTAGAATACAACAGGGCTATCTGTGAAATTGTTTAAGGGTGGGTCCATCTCCAGCAGACATTGGGGTCACCCTGGACAAGTTATCAGTTCAACACATAAAATGATTTATAACCAAACTTCCTTTAAATGTTTGGGGACCTTTATCCTTGGTCTGTCTGCAGTGTTCTTTGATTAATTCTGTGTTGTTCTTCAACAAATCCAAGGTATTCACAGAAAAGCTGTCCTTATATTGAGATTATGTGACACACAAGCAGCCCCTTGTGTGTCACATTACTCCTCAGTAATGACATGGTATTCAGTGGCTATGGATTATTAAAAGCAAGATAAGAAGATAAAGGTGCTGTAAGGACTGCAAAAAACACAATTATTGTTCGTATCAAAGAGTAACACATTTCGACAGCTTTTAAAGACTCATTTTTTTATAGCCCCACTATTGAAATCAGTGTTAGAAAATAGTTCAATAGTTAAAGGGCATAATATTATCTTGATAAAATAACATTCAGCTTTAAGTGCTATTGTTTTATTTTGTATTCATAACTAAATTTAAGAGATTTATTCAGAAAGCAGGTTATCTTGTTTTAACGGCGTTTGTTGCAAATTTGTTCAAATCAGTAATGAGATGGAAATCCTTTGGTAATACAAAGACGATTTCTGTTGGTTTACCTCAGTAAGCAAACAAGCAGCTAGAAAGACCACCTCAAGTTTGCTTATCGCAGTGGAGTGGATGATACCATCACAGACCTGCTTCAACAAACCTGCTGTCATTTAGACAAGGCAGACAGCACTGTTAGGATCATGTTCTTTGATTTCTCCAGTGCATTTCATACAATTCAGCCTGATTTATTTTGTCAGAAACTTCAGAGGACTCAGGCGGGGGCATCCACAATCGCCTTGATCAAAGACTACCTGAGAAACAGACCACAGTTTGTAAGACTGAAGGATCAACTGTCTAATCAAGCTTTCAGCAGCACAGGAGCATCTCAAGGTATTGTACTCTCGCCATTCCTTTTTGACTTCCAGTAGAAGACAGAGCCCTGTAATCTGCTAAAATACTTGAATTACTGCAGTCATTGGGTGCATCAAAGATGGACAAGAAAATGAATACATGGACCTAGTGAACCACTTTGTAAATTTTGTCGGAAACAATCATCTGATCCTGAATGTCAACAAAAAAAAAAAAAAAATTACTGTAGATTTCAGAAGAGACAGAAACAGGTTTAAACCTATCAACATCAAAGAGAACAATTGGAGGTGGTGGAGGAGTATAAGCCCCATTTACCCAACCCTTTTGAAACCGTGCCTAGAACGGTTTGAGAAAGATAACCGAGATAACTCTTGATAGTAAAAGGAATGCAACTGAATTGGACCGTGCCACTGTGTTCGGCTTTGAAATTCACGGATCTCTTCGCCTGTTCACAACATGAACTGATTCAGCTTATTAACATAAATGGCATCAAAAGACTGTGGTGTGAGCTGGGATGATGCTAAGACCGAAGCTCTCATTGAAATTTGGAAGGAAGATGCTATCCAGGCACATAAGTTCCTGAATGTTTTGTTTGCGTATTCCCGTCTTGAGAGCTGTAGTATTGTGGACCACCTATAGGAGGCAAGGAACTGCGCTAGCATGACGTGTAAATGGTTGTAAGGAACCAAGCTCGGCACAGTTAACTGATCCAAGCTTGGTCCGAACTTGGCACGGATTGGTTTCAGAGGAGTAGTGTAAATGGGTCAGTAAATATCCTCTACAAGTCTGTTATGGAGAGTGTGATCTCTTCCTCTATCATCTGCTGGGGTAACAACATCAAAGCAAATGACTTAAAAAGTATTTTTGAGTTGAATTGAAAACTCAAAACAGTAAATGTAAAACCATTATTTATTAACAGGCATGGTAAGCATGCTGCTGGCTCTGTGTCAATGACTCATTAGGATGTGCGAGCATGCCTTAAAAATAACTGTGCAGAGTTCAGTGAATGAGATTTTCCATATCATGAACAAACAGTTGGCCTTTGTTTGAAATAGGCAGCATATGGTGCACATGCTGGTGGTTATAGTGCATTCCTTCTGCAAAGTCTGAGGCTTTTCATGCATGGCTTAATAGAACGGACTGCTTTGATTTATATGCTGATAATGGACTGCTCAACCAAAAATGATTTCATATACTTTAAATATGAAAACCAGAACCAAAAAGGTGTAAAAGAAAAGAGAAAATTACGCTTTTATGAATTAAAAAAGAAACAAAATGAAGCCTTTGCCACCGATCATGATTAAAGGTGTAGTTACCAGTGAGTAAATATTGGAAAATCTTTCTGTGAAGGCAGGCATTTGGCAAGATGCCCCCCTCAGTCCCACTGCTGAATAAACCAACACATTCTGCAGAATTTCTAAAAGCATATCGACTGGTCTACAGGAAAATCAAACATTTTGTAGACTTAAATTAACTTTTCTCTTTACACTGACCCATCAGTACAAGTCACTAGTTCATCACAGAGAAACACAGTGATACATGGGACCAATAACCCTGCACACTGAATCTACCAGCTGTGTTTCTGGAGGGTAAGGTGTAGGACCCAGAGTAAACCTGCTAATGCAAAGTAGAAGCTGAAAAACATTATTTTGGTTCAAATCCAGGATCTTTCTTCTGCAAAACGGCAGCGGTGCATCACCAACCCCTAATTATTAAAAATGACAAGATATAGTGTTTTTGTTGAAAATAAGATTCATTTTCACCCAATTCTAGAACTTTGATAATAAGCATTGACTAAGCAAATGTTTTGCATTTTCATTCAGTAACAATAATAATAAATAATATAAGTAATATAAGTAATAAGTAATAATATTGCAAAAAGAAAACACAAAGTCAGTGTTTGAATTACCAAAAAAGTCTTTTATTTTGTTTCCATAAGTGTCAGCACATGAAATGCCCCAAAATGTCCAAAAGGGGCTACATTAAATCACCTGCATAATTTTATGACATCATTGAAGGCTATAAGTCTGCTTCTTGTCTGGGAGGTCAAAGGTGACAAAAAGTGAGCGAGGGTCCTTCTTGTTTTTACGCACATTGATCCTTCCCTGGAGCTCTTCTCCTTAAGAAATAAAAAGACAAATAAAACATTTTTAGGCTTTTATAGAAATGTAGAAAAACCATCTGCTGTCCAGTATTCTAAGCATGACCCCTGCTATTTCTTTGGTGGGCAGGAGAAGTCTGCATGTCCTTGTTTGCAACAAAAGCTCTAGAAAGACAAGCTCAATTTATTTTCAGACCCAAAGAAAGCATTTAAATATTCATTTACATTTTTCTTTTAGGATCTTTTGCAAAAAGTAATTTCATTTCTGTGGATTTAAAAGTTCACACAGTTGTAAAAGCTGTTTACTTTTGAAATATTGTCTATCAAACCTAATAGCCTGTGTATCTATATATCAGACTTGAAGCAAAATAAAAAAAACCATCAAAAGGCATAACGCACTGAGTCAATCATCATTTAGAATTTTCACAATAAAAGAAAAGTTTCTGATGCCCTGAAGCATTACAGGGCTGCTGAGCTCAGACCTCTGCAGCATGAGTGCACTGCTGCTTATAGAAATGATGATGTGTGTAAAGGCAATATGCTTTAATGCATCTTAATAAGCAAGATTGTGCATGGAATGCAGAAGCTCTCCTATCTCCAGATGGCAGACAGAAGGGAATACACCTACAAGACCAAGCAAAATTATGACGCATAATCACTCCGATTAACTTCCCGTTTGACTGCTGGAGGTAAATGAATGTTTACTGAAACGGCAAACAAGCGTCCTCTCACGCTCTGCTGTTCTGCCCCACCTCCGTTCTGCTGCAGGTCAGATCGGAATGAGAGGAGAAAATGCTGACTGTGGCTATTTCTCAAGCAACGCGTTTACCATCATCGCTCCCGTGTCTTTCTGGTTACCATGGCGACATCACTGTCAGACAGCTGGCTGCTGGCGCCACTCTCTGGGTCTGTTGCCCCACTGCATAGAGCAAACCTCAAAAGTGGTGAAGGCTTGGTAGTTTTACAGAAGTCAAATATAGTTTAATTATTTAAATATTAAACAAAATGCTGCCAATTACACTATGAAAAATAGTGAGCATTTTATTTTTATTCTGCCAAACTCAAAGCTCAAGCTCTGTTTCTTTGGATAGAGTGTAAACATTTAACACTTGCCACATAATCTACTTTGGATTTACATCTGGACTTTTATTGAGTTATTCCAACAACAACAAAAAAAATGAACTGTGGGAGTAATTGTAAGAAAATGGAAGACATTCAAGACCACTAATAATTTCCCAGCTCTATGCAAGATCACTGCCTGTGGGGTGAAAATGATCATGAGAACGGTGAGCAAACATTCCAGAAAAAAAATTTGTGGAGGGAGTTGAAAGTCTGTGTTGCCCAGCGACAGCTCCAAAACATCACTACTCTAGAGGATCTGCATGGAGGAATTGGCCAAAATACCAGCTACAGTGTGTGCAAACCTGGTGGAGACTTACAGGAGATGTTTGACCTCTGTCATTGCCTACAAAGATCGTTCAAAGTATTGAGTTGAACTTTAGTTATTGACCAAATACTTATTTTCCACCATAATTTACACATAAATTATTTAAAAATCCTACAATGTGATTTCCGTTATTTATTTATTTTTTGTCCGTTTCGTCTCTCATAGTTGAAATGTACCGATAATGAAAATTACAGACCTCTCTCATTATTCTAAACAGGAAAGCTTGCACAATCAGTGGCTGACTAAATACTTTTTGGCCCCACTGTATGTTGGTTGCTCTGACATTAGTTCATTATATTTATGTTATCCAGAAAAAGTTTTGTTAGATAGCGATTATATTGAAAATGCATATACCAGCCTAGGCCTAGTCAAAACACATGATGACATATATTCAGATGTGTTTATATCTTTAAAGGTATACAGGACGATATTTTATTTCCGGGTGGATCATCAAAATAAGTGGTCCTCCTAATTGTCAATCATTCTGGAGATATATTTATGTAACACAATGCAACATGTGCTTGTCAGCTATCTTTTTCTGCGCATGCGCACTTTCAGGCGTACATCTCTGGTTCTGTGTTGAGGCGGAGTCACATGACCAATGGGGAGCTAAAAGTAGTGATCATGTTCTGAATGGTCAGTTAACTGAATTTGCTAAAGTTCACTATTAAGTCCTCTATAAAATCCTCTATATAGCAATGGAGAGATTTAGGGGTTAGGGCGGACATTTGGACACAGTAAGCTTGTATGAGCTATGAGAACAGCAACTTTTAAACAGAGTCTGTAGGAGGAGTAATGGGCTCGTGCATGCTCTCACACGCCCCTTTTTTCAAAGGGGAGAGGGTGGGTCTTTTAAAAAACTCGCAAAAATCCTCCATAATACCTCTAACTTGTAAGCACATGTGACTTAGGTATCATATCTTGAACATGTAAACCACATCTGTTCACATGTTCAAGATATGATACCCAAGTTTAATTGTTTTGAATTCACTTGAGATTTATAGAAGGTGTATTTTTATAGAGATATAGAGTACACACAGAATATAAATTTGACTAGATCACTAAAACTAGTCTAAACGTGACTAAAACTATATTAATTGTCAAGTCAATATGAATTGACTTAACTGTGATGAAAAAACTCGTAAGAATTTTCATCCAATAGACTAGGACTAAACAAAGGTGGAATGGCTTCCAAAAACATTGAAGTTGGAAGAACATCTTTTGAAAGGGACTATAATAACAAAAAAGAGTATCAACAACATTTTAAAGTGTGTTAAAAAAAATGGTGCCACTTTTTGGGGGTTTATTTTTCTATTCATTTATTTTTTCTAAAAGAAAAGACTGACTGAACTGGTCTCATTATCAAACAGCAATGATAAATGAAGACCAACCCAGCTGTCCATCTTCAGTGGGGGAAAAAAAAAGCATATAAGGCAAAAGTGGCAATTCTTTGACCTTCAATAATGTTGTGTTAAAAGAAAGAAAAGGGATGTTGGTATCAGACATTTGCCCTAAAACAACTTTGCAATTAACTGCCCAAGTAATCCTCCTCGTTTCAGATTGAACTGCTGAAGCATACCGACAATCATTGACAGTGAGTGTGTTTAGTCTCGGTGCAACTACAGCAGCCCTGCTGCAATCAGTCAAACTAAACTCCCCATGGAAGAGGGGCCTGGGAGCACTTGGTAAACTGGCCACTCCGATCTGAACGAGTTAACCATGTGTGGAAATGAGTCAAGGAATGGAGCCGGGCTTTCACTGCAGTGTCGTACATCACCATGCCACTGTCATTAAGCACAACCAGGCTTCTGGAAACAGCTTGTCTCAGCCAAACAACTTCCCTCCATGAAATTAAAATTGGAATATACAGGCTCTGAACACTGACATGCAGATTGCAGCCATTTATATTACATTTACACATTTCTACAACATCTGCACCCAAATGGCTGCGCTGGATTTTATTTAAGTGTTCTAGAAGAAGCAGGATACACATCATACTGGTAGGTTATGGTTTGTGAAATGTGCCTGCTCCCCACACTGGATGAGCATGAGTCCCCTCTATGAATGTATATAAAATTCAGGGTACATTCACTCATTCTATAATGCATCCTAGAAACTGTAATCAGCTAAATATTTTAGCTGTGATTGACCTAAAAAAAAAAAAAGATTCCAGCAAAGGTATGAAACTGTATCTACAAGTTATGTAAGTTCTGTTGAATTCTTGCTAAAATGAATCATTCATAATTTATGTTGTTGTTTACGTAAAAACTTTAAATGAGTAAATACACGTGCGTGTTATAAGATAAAACATCATTTAATTTTATAATTTATTTTAAAAGTTTGTTCTTATCGGTGCTGTTATGTTTTAGCCAGGAACCAAAGTTCATACTTGTGTACCACTACGGTAAAATTAATAGATGCTACACTATGAAGCTAGATTGCAAAACCTGATGCAAGCGTGTGGAGAACCTCTCTTCATGACAAGCAGCTAATGAGGTATTATTATTTTTTTTAATGATGGATTTGTTTATACTTATGCAGCACAGCATCTTGCTCTTTTTTGTACTTGTACACTCTTGGTTTGAGCTGATATATATATTTGTGTCTGTACAGTTCCCACGGCATAAAAGTATGAACATCATAAAGGACGTAAATGGAGTGTCATGTTGAACGACATGAGAGAAAAGATGAAATAAATGCCAGTTAAAGAGAAACCGATCCGTGTCTGTCGTGGCGAGAGCTACAAGTAAGATTAATATCTCGAAAGCATACCTATTTAACATTATTGAAACCCCATTTCTAATTTGTCACAGCTAGATTTCATCAGCACTGCATCCTCTATGTGCTAAAATAAATAATTCCCTGTATTTTTCGATGTAAGAGTTCAGGTTTTGAACCACAACTCTTATTGCAAATCAAAATTCTTTTAAGATCAAACTGGTTTTAGTCTTAGGTATATAACACCTTTGATGTCAATGTACAGTAGTAGCCATTCAAAATTTCCTCACTTTCCTTGATGGGCCCTTGACTGGTCCTTTTTAAACATTAATCTTTGTACTAAAATATTCTTTCTGTCATGAATTGTTGACATTAAGATCTAAAGAGAAGCGTCATCTCCTGGTCAGACCCTGTAATTCAGTGAAAGGGTGGAGTAAAAACTAAAATGTCCTGCAGAGGGAGGGGGTCACTCCACTGGCCAGAAGTTGGAGGGGATTCTGCTGGGAGTGCAAGGAAGTTGGCTTCCATTAAGCTGGTTATTGACTGGGAAGGGCCATTTTGAATGGCTGCTACTATATATCTTGTAAAACAGTAGTTCTCAAACCTGCCAGGTGTGTGGAAGTAAGGATAACTCTAAAACATGCAGGGCATTGGTATTTGAGGACCAGGATTGAGAACCACTGCTGTAAACCTTAATCATTTAACAAGTTAGATTAACATGTTGGTTTTCCTTATTCTTTGTAATAATGAAATGTAATTCTTTTTTCAGTTTCTTCCCCAAAGCTGAAGAATACACAATATTTTGCAGTAATATAATAACAAAACATAACAAATGAAGAAAGGCTTAAATCAC